TCTATCTATCTATCTATCTATCTATCTATCTATCTATCTATCTATCTATCTATCTATCTATCTATCTATCTATCTATAAATACTGGCCAGACACTAAGTACTTTTTAAATGTAACTAATTAACAAAATTACCAAAACTAAGAATATTCAAACAAATGATAAACAAATTTCACTTCCCATTACAAATGGTGTAATCCAAAGGAAATTGGCAACTCAAAAAAACAGAAAATTAATCAGTTGCATCTTAACAAAAAACAACCTGACAAATAAAGTGACCTAAATGTGTGCACTGCAAAAAGCTAACTTAAAGTCAGGCTAATGAAAATATATGAAATGTGCAACTCATTTTAAGAAATGAAAAATATAAAAGTTACCACACAGATTCAGAGTGTGAGAGCAGGCTGTCACGCCTTATTTTTTTGTTTAATTAACATTCTAACTTCCAATTTACTAAAATGATAATAATTAAATCCCCTGTTAAATCTCTAACAGCTTCCTTTGCTGCCCTGCCTACCTGTTCATTTCCTTTAACTCAATAATGAGCTGATATCCATACAAAATGTATCATTAAACCCATCATATTTATTCTATTCACTGTCTGTTGTATTTCTATTAAAATGTCCTGTCTGCATTCTGAATGATTATACTGCAAATTAATTAGGAATGAACTAGAATCTGAACATATGACTGATCTTAATGGCCTAACCTCTTCAACCCATTGAATAGCTAATAATATTGCAATCATCTCTCCTCTGTAAACTGAAAGTCCATAACATTTTTTTCCAAAATTAAACATTAATTTCTGGTACTAGAAAAGCTACTCCTATTTTATTTAATATATTTTTAAAGAATCTGTATAAATCTTAACATAACTATCATATTTAATTATTTATATTTACATGGATTTAGAATGAATTTCTTATCTTTTCTCCCTTTCAGCAAACTGAAATCCACATTGACTTCTGGAATAATCCAAGACTGCATTATTGATAATGGATACTAATCTGATCTCCTTTGAATCCTTTTATTTCATACACAATCCAACCAAAACTTCTAATGTTTTTTATTACCTTTTCCCAACAGGGTTTTATGGCTTGATGAGTTGGATGACCCTGTCTATATGACCTTTTAAATTAGCCCAATAATTTAATGTTAATTGCTCCCTTCTAAATGCATGAGGCATTTCTCCCATTTCTACTAATGTTGCTGTTGGAATAGTTTTAATTACCCCTGTATATAACTTCAATGCTTGGTACTGAATATGATCCATTTTCTGTACATTTGTCTCTGCTGCTGAGTTATAAAGAATGCTTCCATAATCTATCTATAATTAGTC